GTCTTTCATCCATATCATGTCAGTAATTAGGGTCTGAGCACCGACTGGTAGGAGGACCCTGTTGTAATTCATTTGTCAGCTTTTTCTTCTTCTCTAAAATTAATTGCCTTTTAGAGCCTAAACATGCTCAAAAACTCATGAAACTTCGCACAAGTGTTGGGCCTCGAGAAAACTTATGTTTTATGGGTCTTGCTCATTGGTGTGGCAAAATGGCTTGATAACGCCCCCTTGGAAAATTTCAACACGGCACTACTTGCCCTGTGTTTTACCTACATGTACGAAATTTGGTCTGTACATGTAACATGCCAAGACTTAGAAAAAAGACTGCGTGCACCCATACCCTAAACCCAACAGGAAATGAGATATTTTAAATTTATTCAGCAATTTTGGAACCAAATTTATTCAGCATTTTTGGTACCATTTTTAGCATTTACAGGGATTGGAATTAAAAAACTCCACTTAGAGAATTTAACAGATCGACATCATAATTGGTCAGTCTAATCTTAAGACCCTTGCTACGCTAAATTGCGAAGCTTTGAGTTTTCATTGAACAGCCTGCCCGAGGCGGTGCGGCACATCTTTTCCAAACTGCCCCAAACTTAATATGTTTGATAAAAGTCCTGCCCTGAAGACATCTAAATGTCAATATTCAGTTACAGTCATAGCGCCACCTCATGGCGACAGGAAATTCATGTTCTTCGTCGAGAGGGTTGACCACACCCACCTCAAACTTGATGATGCTTTATTGTGAAACTGTGAGTTTTTGCTGAATGGCCTGACTGTGGCGGTGCAGCAACTTTCAATGTTTGGCAGTAAAAAGGAATTGTTATAACTCAAGCACACATTGTCCAAACTGCCCCAATCTTTATGTTTAATAAGATTCCTGGTCTGAACACATCTGCATGACAATATTCAGGTGCACTCATAGCACCACCTAATGGCAACAGGAAATATCGTGTTTTACAATTTGATTTATTCCTCCTAGCAGTTTGATCACACCTTCCTCAAACTTGGTCAGAAAATACTTCAGACCTTGATGATTCTTTACTGTGAATGCTTTATTGTGAATTTTTATTTAAGGGCGTGTGGCAGCAAATTTCGCAACAGGAAGTTGTTGTAACTCTATTATACATTGTCCAATCTGCCCCAAACTCAATCAGAAGATGCTTAACATCGTGATGATGCTTTATTGTGAAAACTGTGAGGTTTCGTTGAACTGGAATTGGTGGTGGGGTGAATTTTAATGTTTCGCCATGAATATGGAAGTTGTTATGACTGAAATATGCATTGTGCAATCTGCTCCAAACTTCACGTGTTTGATGATAATCCCACACTGAAGACACCTGCATGCTAACATGAAGTCATAGTCATAGCGCCACCTACTGAATACAGGAAATTAACGTTAAATTGATTTACCTGAAATTTTCATGTTCTGGTTTACACGTGATCACCATAATGCATGTTTGCTGTGTCAAATGGCTTCCTGGCAGGGGCCCCAAGGTGCACAACAGGTAAAGGGCCTGCATAACGCTGCTTGCAGCCTTAATTTTTCTTGATCAACTTCATAGTGTTGAACCAGGACCTACTCTATACCAGTATTTCAAACAAAAGACACTTCATTCTTTGTGAAAAAATAAACTTCTATTGCCATGTGCAAACAAGAGATAAACACTGAGAGTCTTTGGCGATTAGACCCCATTGTTATGTCATCATATTTGGAAAGAGGGTGAGGCTGTGTGAAGTATAGGACCCCCCCCCCCCCAGGCGTCTAGACACTGGTGGTGTCGATGGGAGGAAGAAAATGCTGGAGATGTGATGTGGAGTGGACTCTGATGAGCTTGACCAGGTGCTTGGTATGAAGAGTGGAGGTGGGTCGCAGCAACATGCACTGAAAGGACAGCTGACAGCAGAAGAGAGCAGAACAGATTTTGAAGTCTGACAGCGACAATGCGATTGACTGGTTGAGATCATGGTCGAATTCGATTGGTTACTGAAAACCCCCTGAAGTCAGCTGATTAGAAGAAGTGGAGTGAGAGAGCAAGAGAGAATTGTGAATGGATGAGGCGTAAACTTGAACTTATCCTGGGCTTCATTTGGATCAAGTATCCTCAGCTGTAATTTTACTGTCAGACGCATATTTAATCAATATTTAGGTAAATATAAGCATTAGGTCTTACTCAGTATTGTCAGATATCCAATATTAAACATACAATATGTAAC